GACCGCGACACTCGGTTCATGTCCGATTTTTGGTTGGCGCTCATCAAGCGACGGGGCTCATCTCTCAAGCCCAGTTCAGCTCGCCACCCTCAGACCGATGGTCAGACGGAGAGGGCGCATCAGACCGCACAGGTTCTCCTTCACACTCTCATCCGCCCCGACCAGAAAGACTGGGTTAAACGACTGTCGGACGTTGAGTTGGCCTACAACTCTTCCATCCACCCGGCTATTGGGATATCGCCCTTCGAGTTCGAGCACGGCTCGCCGGTCACGTCACTGTTGGACACGATTACTCCACGCACGGCCGAGAGCGACGACCATCTCCTTTTCTTGCGTCGGATGCAAGAGCTTCTTGTCAAGGCACGCGACCAGATGGCTAAGACGCAACAGCGCATGCACCAACAGGCAAATCATCAGCGTCTTCCTTATCCATTCCGCGCCGGAGACCTTGTGGGGCCTTGGCCGGTCATCGAGCCCGCTGGGGACGCACCTGAAGGGCCTTCCTTCACGATTCAGGTGCCTAGCCACTTGCCCGTCTACCCAGTCTTTCATTGTTCCAAATTGGCTCTGTACACGCCTGCGGAACATGATGATTTTCCCGGGAGACGTACGCAGGATCCACCTTCTACGGATGGTGTGCAGAACTGCAAGCGACAGCTCCAGATGTTCTCGCACGCTACGAACGCAAGATGCAAGGCAAGCCGGATTCTTCAGCTCCACGCCGCGCCCGCGTCCAGGTTCCACCTTCAGACCGACGGCTTCGCCCTCGCCCCGGCTTGACTTCATAAGGAGGGGGGGGTGTTACATGCAGCACGTGCACACACGGGCCATTTTGCAGGCCCGACGACCATTTTGCAGGCCCGACGGTGTTCAGGCCGAAAGCCTGAAATCCAGGGCTTACAGGCCCCCTGTCGGTTCAGGCCAAAAGCCTGAAGTCCAGGGCCTATCCCTGGTCGTTTCAGACTAAAAATGGCAACAGCCTTTTTAGCCTGAAACGAAGGGCCATTTTCGGTCGTTCATGAGAACGACCGGCCCTGAAACTCAGGCACCGAACCAGGGTTTCGGAAACAGACTATTAATAGTCTGTTTCCCACGCCAGCCTCAAGCAGGCTGCTGCACGCCAGCCCCAGGCACATTTCGGCATTGGCAAGAGCTGCCTCCTCGGCCTAACTGCCCTCCAGTAGTCAGGAGGCAGGCCGAGGTAGTACATAGGACTTCCCAGGCACTTCCGAGGAAGGCAGTTGGTAGTTGTAGTCTTCAGGATTCGGGTGCAGCACTCTGGAGGGAGCGCTGCGTTGTAGTAGTAGTAGCGTTAGCTCGTAGTCTTCAGCGCTGGGCGCAGTAGGTAGCTGTAGTCTCGAGCGCTGGGCGCCATAGCTAGGTAGTACTAGAGAGAGAGAGAGAGAGCTTGGGCGGAGGCCAGAGGTACCTACCTGCAGCGCCGTTGCTCCAGCTTCGTCTTTGAGGTACCTGCAGCACAGCGCCAACATCACAGGTTAGTACTTGGTTCGTAACAAAGAGAGAGAGAGAGTTCTTCTTCTTCTTCTTCTTCTCAGTCCACCATCTCTTCTCTCCCTCTCACTTCTGACTTCACTGCATCTGCAGACTATGAGAGAAGAGATACAGAGCTTGGTGACATTGGATCCAGACTCGACTTTCGAAGGTTCAGACATGGCAACGAGGGACTATTTGGGATTGGTGACCAAGACTTGGTGTTAACGACATTCCCATCTTCTTCCCTCCTTTCGTCTGTTCCTTATCTCTTCGTCTGTGTATGTCTGGACCTGGCGCTTTCTTCCTGTGTGCAGCACCAGGCTCCTTCACACTTCATGATGGATACAATGCATGTTTAGTCTGAGTTCAAACATTGATTGGGCTAGTTAGAGGTACTCTAGCATTCTGCTTCGTTACTCTGAACTACGTGAATGAGGTCAGTCCTGTCAGGTCAGTCTTGTATCAAAGTCTTCCCTGCGCTCTTCAGCATCTTTATGTATGAATGAGAATGTACATTGCTTGTGGAGATTCTACTCGTACCGCATTGTCTATTCAGTCCTTTTCATCACCTTGCAGATTCTCGGTTCATTACGTACATCGCATATCTGTGCATGTAACACTCTCTCTCTCTCTCTCTCTCTCTCTCTCTCTCTCTCTCTCTCTCTCTCTCTCTCTCTCTCTCTCTCTCTCTCTGTGTGTGTGTGTATACCCTTCTCCTTCGCTCTGCCTCTTTTGCACAGTGTACAAGTTGGCTGTTATGGCACACGGGATGGGATGGGATAGGATGGGATGGGGGCACCATGGTCTACACCATGACTGATGATGTTACGGATTTCTTACGTAACGGTGCTGCTTTCTTGCCACTCCAAATGGTCCACATAGTCTTTCATGTCGAAGATAATTCCTCTGCCCCCCTTACGGATTTCTTACGTAACGGTGCTGCTTTCTTGCCACTCCAAATGGTCCACACAGTCTTTCATGTCGAAGATAATTCCTCTGCCCCCCTTGCTATAGCAAGACAAGGTATCAGCACCCTGCGGCCCTCTCGTTTGCACATCGACAAACACTGTTACACTCGGCTGAAGCCGTCGGCATCATCTCTGTCCCAGTCACTACAAGTTACATGGCTTCTGCATCCATGTTGTGCCGAGGACTATCCCTCCTTTTCTGACAGCAGGCACGCTCTTTCTGTGGTGTCCGGACACTAGATGTCAATTTTTCGGCCATTATGGGCGTTATACTGAGTGCATGGTCTTTTGTGGTGCCCGTTCTTCCTTCACGTTGACCATGCCCATCGAGCATGCCATTTGTTGGGAGTGTTTGGTGGGCATGCTCAATGCCAGTCGTCCATGTCCACATCCATGATCCATCTCATCGTTACAATGATTGTCTCCTCTTGTCATCAAGGACAAACTGATTCTTGAGCCTTCTGTTATCTTTCCCATACTTTCATCTCAATTCCACACTTCTTTCTTCCCTCCTTTCTTTCCGCTTTGTCTTCCTTCGCTTTGTCTTCCTTTGCTTTGTCTTCCTTTGCTTTGTCTTCTTTCCCTCTTTCTTTTCTCTCTATTTATCCCCTCGCCCCTCCCCCCTCCCCCTTTACTATGCCGCTTTCTCACACCATACAACTGGGTTGCTATGGCAGCTCGCTAGTGGTGGATGCTCATACCAACACCACTAGCAATCTCAGCCGGTTAAAA